AAAAATAAACCAGTTTAGATCAAGTGCTTCAAAAATTGTTTTATTTAATCTTTTTGAATAAAATTTTATAATTTTTATAAAGATATTTTAATGGAATTTATTAAAGAGAGATTTTCGAGGAAGCCGAAGATGTTCATAGGCTTACCTATATCTTATCTAATACGTTGAAATCGCTAACATACTTAAAACACTTTTTTTTTCGGATTGTGGTAGAGATTTAAAGAAAATAAATTTACGAATTTTATGAACAATTTCTTTATTTACCGTAAAACAGGTATATTTATTGCATGTCGTTAAAATGTACTACTCCAGAGAAAAATTAATTGTAGTACTAGTGCCCTTAAAATTGATAAAATTGCGGATTTAGGACAACTAACAAAAAATCTTTTTTTTGCAAAATTTACGTTTGTACTATATCTTTCTCAAGATTAAAACAAAATAAGATTAAGCTTAATATATATGTTCTATGGACAATTCCTTCTCCTTAACTAAAATCTTGGCTGTATAATTGGAGAAAAAGAAGAATATTTTTTATACCTGCTCAAGCTTTCGAGAATATTTTATTCTCTTCTTCAGGAGCTCTACAATAAAGATTTGTTGTTTAATTTAAGTAAAAAAAATGAAACAAATGTTAACATATAAAATGTGTAGTTAGAAGATCACATAAAGTTTTTCATTTGTCTTCTATAAATATCCAGGATGCATCAAGTGAATAAAAATATTCTCATTTGAACCTGTAGAAACTGTGAAAGTAAAGAAGTCGTAGTAATATTAATACCAAAGTGAAGTACGAAAATATTATATTTAACAGTTTCCGTTCTAGAAGAAAAGTGAAGAACTGATTAAAAAGTGTATGACCACAATTTCATTGTAAATTTTAAAGTTGTGACAACAAAATAACTGCATAATTTTCCTCAATGTTCCATACATTGTTCAATATGCTATACGAAATAGTAGACAAAATATACAGGCTAAACTTTTCGGAGGGGCTACAAAGGAATATGAATTTTTCGCTGTACGGTTTTGAAATTTTGTTCGGTGTTCGGTGGTATATGGTGTACACCAAAAATAAATAAATTTTGACAACTCGATCGAAAGCTACAGTTAAAACAAAATTTAGTGGCAATTCGAAGATTAGCATATATATGAGTATATTCCTAGATTTTAACCAGGACTATTTTAACTGGTTATTTCGTACTTTCTAGTTTGTCCCATTCTGCCATTACAGTTTGTCATCATTAAACACCTGTATATCAACTCTGGCTCGATATCTGCATAATATATAGATTGTTATAACTAATTGGCCATACTTCTTGGCCATCTTGGAACGAAATTACTTTGTACAATATAGTCCAACCAAATTATACTTAGAGTAAAAAAAATGTTACCTGGACTTTTATAAGTGGAAATGGTAAAGGGGCTTATAGTAAAAGTAAAAAAAAATAAATGCGTGAGCAGAGGTGGCGGAGGGTTGATTTGGGGGTTGAAAAGTTGTGAAAAATTGTATCATTGGGATTTCTGGCGAAAGTTGACATCGAACAAAAAAGTATCTTTTACAAAAGTTGTAGATCATACAAAAATCTACAACTTTTGTAGAAGTCACTTTTTAAGATAACCTCAAAATTTCCGAGAAAAATACAAAAAATAGTTTTTTTCTTATTTTTCGTTTTTATTTCTCATTTCCGCAAAAATAATTTAATTTTGACGAAATTTGGTAAAAGTATACTCTTCTGTGTCTTAAACAACCACAATTATTTTTATTAAAAAAATCAAGAAGTTTCCGAGATATTCATTTTTTCCGGTCTGATACAGTTTTTTTTCAAAGAAAACTACTTAGAATAATCATCGTACAGAGTTCTGTTGGTGATCATTTTTTTTCATTTTGGCATATGCTTTTTGGTAAAATAAAAAAATCTGTGATCACAGTTCAAGAACATGCTCAAAAATGCAAAAAAAATTAAGTGACTTGCAACAATGAATTTTTCAGTAACACTCTCTCATATTAAATTTCATCGAAATATCTAGAAAAATTAAGTAATTTTTTTTAATCCTGGAATTTTTTAAGGAAGAAATGTTGTACTAAGGTAACTAACATGATAAAAAATCGATTTCGTTCGAGGAAGTTACCTTTCAAGTATGGCTCAATAACTATGTATACAATTTAATCAAATAAGGACAGGGGACAAATTATAAATAGGTATTTTAGTAATTGAAAACTATATGCACATAGTTAGATAGAATAACACATTTTTAAAGTTAATTTGTTATTTGTTAATAAATGTTTCTCTAAATGTAATTTAAATTTTATGTAGTCTCAGTACCTTCAGAAATATTATTAAAATATCTCGGTTTCAAGAATAACCAACTACGTTGCAGTAGTATTGGTATTTATCTTAGGTGCCTGTAAAAGTAATCTCGTAGTTTGCCTGGTGTAAGGTGTAATATATATTATTTGCTTTTGCTAGCTTTGATTCATATAAGTCAAAGATAAACATATATTTTATTATGTAAATGGCATAATATTATATAAATTGATCTCAATTCTCTATAAATATGGAATGCTGCTTTCATATTACTATGAAAATATTAGGTGCTTTCCCTAATCATCTAATATGAGAAGTAAATTGTAGGAAACTACGTAGAAATTTTGTGCTAATTTGCTTCTGTCTCAGGTGGCGTCAGTTCCATTTCATTACATACCTGATCCTCCTCTTTTGCCACTATTCTGTCCTCGTCCTCTAGATATAAAGCAATAACTTAAGAGTAAGTGTGACAGCTATATTGGAATTCAGAGTTGGTATTTGACAATTTCATTTCAAACTATTGTTACGACGATTCCCTTGGTCGCACAAAGGGCATAATTTAAAGACGACTTTCTAACAAAACAAAAACATTTATTATATAACGATGAAATACAACTACAGAATAAACATGGTTTTATTTAAAGTAGTATTTGGAGGATTGGTACATACAAAAAGACCTTACACAACTTCTAGTTTCACAGATATCCTGATAATAGTTATTTATGTACCAAGTACCAAGTCAGTAAAGTGATTCATTATTGAACAAGCCTGAGATTATGAGCCGATCGAGCGAAGGAATAGCCACAAATATAAATTTACAACACAGTCAAACGCCCTGCTGAGATCACAAAAAATCCCAACAGGGCATTCGCAGCCTCGACACATTCAAAAAGTTTATCATAAAAAGCATGTAGAGCAGTATGTGCAGATCTATTAGCACGAAAGCCATGTTCTCCGTTTGATCTTCACCTAAAATCGTCTTTGCGATTTTCGATTTGTTGAGCACAGATTCCTCAACATAGGATTCTACAATCGTGTCGCTTTTCCACCTTCCGTGACGTTTTAAGTTTTACTTAACTGGGGCCTGAGTTGGCAAAGAGAGTGGCAGACGTGCGACGAAAATAATGTCCCTTATAAAGTGATGGTTCTGGTAAATGCATATAGTTGGCCCTTTTGCTGGTGCGAATTCCAACTGGCCTGTACATGTACCATTTCTATAAGTTAGAAAAAATTGGTCGTGGGACGTCTGTTTAGAGCGCAGAGCTAAATATTTGTTAAATAATTCTACAGATTTTACTTTTCATTTAAACTCTGAAGTGATCACAAATATTTGAGGCCTGTTGGTCTTCGTTTTAGCTACATGAACAACCAGAATTGTTTCTTTGTGCTCTATGTCATTTACTTTTAAATTCAAAAGTTCTTCATTACGTAAAGCCACAACAATGCCTAACACAACACAAATCTAAAATAATTGCTATATTTATATCAAATTATTTTTGAAAAGTTGGCATAATAAATTACCTTCATCATCAAGTAGATTTTATTCGGTGCATTTAGCAAAAATTTAAGTATTTCTTCTTGTGAAAAGTTTTTTTGGACTTTTTTGGAATATGATTTCTTCCTTTTTGTTTTAAAAACGCCATAAGTTTTTTATATTTACTAATGTCAATGTCATGTTTTGCAGAAAGGATTGCTTTCACTATGGAATAATACGACCACGTTGAAGAAGGAGAATACTCTTTCGATAACTCAGAAAAATAGATCAGTAAAACATTTTCACCATATTTTTTAATTCCGTGTTTCCATTCTATTCCATGAATATGTAATACTGGCGAATGTATTTTTCGCCTGATTTTTGTGGTAGAATTTCGAAACACGTTTCTAATGGCTTTTCCCGAATCTCAGGCGACATGCACTGAATGTCTTCTTCCATCATTTTCTATCAATAATAATTAGTGATAAAACTGTGACAGCGATAAACGATTTCTGATTAATTAGTCCAGGAAATATAGAGTTGGACGCGACTTTTTGTTTCGGCAAGCTGAATTTAGCATCACTATAGATGCTAAATATTATGTACAATAACATATTAGTTTCCACAGTCATAAAAATGGGGGGAAGATTGTTTACAGGCTGGTTAATTGTATAATTTTTACATAAACTCACGTTTTTAGCTTATAACTTTTTTCCATTCATTTCCACGAGAAAACAGTAAGGTACTTTTTTTTCGACTTCAAAAGACCTACAAAACTAGCCCTCGAGTGTCAAAAAATATTAATTAGATCAAAAGTTATAAACAGAAGAAGTTTATGACTTTTGAATTAAACATTTATAAACTGCGTTATTATTACCAGATCATTTTGGCATCGTATCCTCTCATTCCTTATCATTGGCTAACGGAAGGCTTTGGTTCGAGGAGAGAAAGAAGAAGGTTAGTCCACCTTCCCAACCCCGGGGTTAGAATTGGGGGTGTGGGGTTCAATTGTCAATTTGTCAAAGGGTGTCAGTAGTGATCGGTTAGGACACACTTTGGGATAGAAATAATGATTAAAGGGTTTCACATCCCACATACAGCGAAAAATCTTATGGCAGGTTTTGGTACTTTTTGTGGGTTAAATGGTATTAAACAATAAGATGGGTGTAGGATGGAATTCAAGATTGAACGGTTTCATAAGCTGTAAGCAGAGAAAAGCCATGTCAGGCTTCGATAAGAACTGGGGTTGGTTCGACCCCAACAGTGGGATTTGGGTAGGGGGTAGGTGGTTCAATTGTTGGAAGTCGGCGTCGGAGGGTATAGAGTAGTGATCGTTTAGGTGGCTGTGAGATGGAATTCACGATTAAACAGTTACATAACCAGTAAGCAGGGAAAAGTCACATGACAGGCTTTGGTAGTTGGTGGGGAGGGAGAGGGGTTAAGTGTTTTGGATATAGTAGTCTTAAGCCTAGTTACAGTTTGAGTGGCTGTAGGTTTGACTGCAGTAGTAAAATATTTCGGTAGTTTTATTGACCGATAATCTGTCAAGTGCACCCCCCTGACCTTTGGGGGTGGTTTTGGGGGTTGGTGGGGGTTGTAGGGCTCGATGCCCATTGATAGTCTTAATCCTAGTTATGGTATGGGTGTCTGTAGGTTCGACTACAGTAGTATAATATTACGGTAAGCCAATTGACCTGTAATCTGTCAAGTTCATTACCTTGATCTTTGGGAGTGGTTTTGGGGGGTTGGAAGGGGCTGTAGGGCTTGGTGCTCATTGAGACTTTTGATCAGCATGATGAGGACTATCAAAATACGAAGTTTCATAAAAATTGACCGGTATTCAATTTCCATATGTTTTGTGCGGGGTTCTTTGCAACCTGGATTTTTGTTTATTTTTTAGCCTTAGTTGCATAATGAAATGTACAACGCACAAGCGTGATATACCTATATATTGTTACATATGCGGAAAGCTTATGAAAAGAGCTTTAAGTTAAAAAAAATCGTCAAGATTCGTTGAAAAAACAACGGAGTTACAGACTGTCAACGAATTGCCCTTATTTAACGGCAGGACTATGAATATTATCGTCATTTTCTTCGGACTCGCTGTCGTTCGCTTTCCTCACCCTTCCGCCGCGTCACGGCTCGCCGAACATCAAGCAACCCACTGACTTTTGGACAATATTTCTTATGCACTTAACATATTTCCACAAATAAAATATTTTTACCTGGGAAAATACTCGGGTTGCCGGTTATGACAGTATTTTTTGCCGCTACCAACCTAATTTGTTTAACAATCGTCCGTTAACTTCGACAGTCTGTAACTCCGTTGTTTTCAACGAACGAATTTTGACGATTTTTTTAACTTAAAGCTCTTTTCATAAGCTTTCCGAATATGTAATAATATATAACTATAACACGCTCGTGCGTCGTATATTTCATTTTGCAACTAAGGCTATAAAATAAAAAAAATCCAGGTTGCAAATTTGAAATTAAAAAAAAAAAAATGATAGATTTCAACGTATTATTATGAAATCTACCTTGAAAAAAATCAGTGCGATTGTGGAAGATCCTCGGGATCGTCCAGACTAATAATAATTAGTTAATTTGTTTATAAGGCCATAACTTGTAAACTATTCAACTTACCGATTCCAGATTTCGTGTGAGTTATTAAACAGTGATAAGGAATGAGAGGATGCGATGCCAAAACGTTCTGGTAATAATAACGCAGTTTATAAATGATTAATTCAAAAGTCATAAATAAACTACTTCTGTTTATAACTTTTGACCTAATCAATATTTTTTTACGCTCGAGTGCTAGTTTTGTAGGTCTTTTGAAGACGGGAAAAAAGTACGTTACTGTTTTCTCGTGGAAATGAACGGAAAAAAGTTATAAGCGAAAAACGTGAATTTACGTAAAAATTATACAATCCTGTAAACAATCTTCCCCTATTTTTATGATGATGGAAACTAATATGTTATTGTACATAATATTTAGTATCTATAGTGATAAATTCAGCTTGCCCAAACAAAAAGTCGCGAAATGGTCATTTCCCAGCTTATTTTCCTGGCCTATAATGTCATACAGTAATGGCTATATTGATAAATATTTGCGTCAGGTAAAATGCTTGATTTTTATAGTAAAATAAAGTGTATAATTCCGGAAATCGCTTTAGTAATGCAAAGCTCTATTGACGGTTGGCGATAAGAATATATTTACCAGAGTTTTCAACAAACTAGGCGAAACCGGAAAGCTTCCAATGCTAGTATAACATCTGAGCGAGCTCATTGAAGGTTTAAAAGATGCAGAAAATATTTTGGGCCTAGTAGAAGATGATGCAACTATCAGTTCAAGAAGAATTGCTATTCATTTGGGCATTTCACAAAAAAGAGTAATAAAAACCCTCCACGAGCAAGGTTTATATCCGTATCATGTATCGAGAGTACAATACCTATAACCGGAAGATTGTGCTAAGCTTGTCGAGTTTTGTCGATGGATCAATAATAAAATAATCATCTTGCTGTATTCCGCATACTTTTTACGGATGAAGCAACATTCACACGTGACGGCTTAACTAATACCCGAAACTTTTATTTATAGTCAGACGAAAATCCTCGGGCAACACTCGAAACTAACATTCAGCATAGATTTTCGGTAAATGTGTGGTGGTGGCGTCATCGATAGTTATTTAATTGGAGAATCACCTCAAAGTAGATAACTATTTAAATTATTTACAAAATTAGTTACAAGTACTATTAGAGGATGTTCCTATAACCATAAGAATGTGAATATACTACTAGCACGATGGAGCTCCTGCATATTTCGTTCATTCAGTCAAGCTACATTTAAGCGAGAGGTTTAGATTGGCTGCGTTGGTCCTATTTGCTGCCGTCCAAGATCTACAGACCTTACGGCACTAGATTACTGTTAGAGTGAACACTCGGGAGGCACTAATTCGACGTATCATCAATACTGCAGCACTTATTAAAAAGACATGTGGTAATCAGGAGAGCTACAGACGCCCTTCGTAAATGGAGTCGAAGACGGATAGAGGTCAATGGTGGTGTTTTTGAACATTTAATCAAAGCGCACTATGATTCATAGAATATCAATAAATTATTATTTTTTATTGAAATACACATCATAATGAAAAACAAATGAAAACCACACGACAACATTTGAATTTTTTCTTATTACTTCGATGTATAGAATCCATTTCTGCAGTTTGGTGCGATTCTCCAGGCTAACCCTGCATATACTTTTCAAAATTCGCAATTAGTTAATAAAACACGTACTTTTCAATTTTTAATTAACTGTTTACCATTTTAAACACTTGGTTAAACATTGTTTAAGTTAACTTTTCAGACAAGAATACTTCTTGGTCAGAGGATTGCGGTTAAAGTTAGAGATGTCATAAATGTTTTAATTATCTTTCTCTGCAGTGTTAATTGCATTCTGTGTAGCTCCATCAGAACTTACAATTAGACTAGGATCTTAATTAAATGCAATTATAGTTGTAGAAAACTACTTTCTAATTCCAGCCCGACTTGCAGGTATTCTAATTGCAGGACTTGCATCGGCAATAGGGTTCATAGGCACTCACCTCAACAACTTTAGTAATTAAATTCGAGTGATATTCCTGTAAGATGCATTTGAATGTAATAAGCTACTTTATAAGATATACAGGGTGGGCCAATGGAAACTTTCCACCCCGATTTTTTTGGTTTAAAATAAAAATCTGAGAAAACGCTCGGAGACGTCGACTTTTGATTTGAGGGGGAACTATTTTTCAGTTTTTTTCATCCCCGTAGCTTTAACCCCCTAGCTGGGGAGAGAACAACCCTCCAAATTTGAATAGGGGATAGGGGTCGTGCCATACCTCTTTTTAAAGGTCTCATCAAGTTCTTTATGACCCTACAATTTCGCCTCATTATTTTTATCCGTAACTAAATGACAGCTTGTCAAAATAAAAATAAATAAAAATACTTACTAATTTATTAATTAGGTCTACACGTAAACTTTATCTAACAAACTGTTCAAAATGTACGCCATTAACATCCATCCAATAATAAAATCGGTTCTCTATCTTTTCTCCAACATTCTGCATTATCCATTAACATTCTACAGTTATGCATTCTTGCAGAACTTGAAGAGAAGCTGGCTGTGTTTTATAAACTGTCGACTTCAAATGGCCCCAGAGAAAGAAGTCTAGACAGAAAAAAGCTTTTAGCATGTGTGTGTCTAGCTGAATGGACGTATTAGTGTGTGGCTCTGGCAAATATTTGTAATTTCTCAAGTCCTTTTGTCACCATGTCTACGAGATCAAATAAAGTCAAAAGTGATGATGATTTATTGATACAACGTGTTATAGAACGCGTAATAACCTCAGAAGAATTTTTGGCCAAATTAACCTCTAAAATATCTGAAGCAGTAAGTAAAACCATTCAGGATACTGTCAAGGGGTATAAAGAAAAGGTCGTTGAACTTGATAATAAGGTAGCAGAATTAGAGTACACAATTGATAATCAAGAACAGTTTTCCAGACGTAACAATCTGAGAATATACGGTTTTCCTGAAGAAAAAGAAGAAAATGTGCAAAGTAAAATCTGCATACTATTACGAGAAAAGTTCGGAATTAACCTGGAAGCTTACGATTTTGAATCCTGTTATAGACTAAAAGGCAGAGAAGGAAGCAGTAGACCAGTAATGGTTAGATTTAGCAGATATCAGGTGAAGCAAGAAATTTATAAGAATAAAAGTAAATTGAAAGGCAGTAAAATTGTCATTGAAGAAGACTTGACAAAGAGAAGAGTGGAGGTTTATAAAAGGGCATGTAGATCATTTGAGCCAAGGAATGTTTGGAGTTCAGAGAGCAAAGTCTTTGTAGAGTGTATAATAGAATACACAAACTTACAACTTTACAGGATCTGGACGAATTAATCGGATCTTAGTAAATACCACCTATGGTGTGAGTTCACCTTTTACGCTGTCTACTTGTTGGTATAGTTTTTGTTCTCTCATTGATAAAATACCACTATTGTTTCCTAGTAAATTTTGTATACCTCTAGATACGTTTTTGTTTAATTTATATGAATAAAAATATTGTGAAAGTAGCACACATTAATGTTAGGTCGCTGGTACCAAAGATAAATAAAATTAAACATATTTTGACACATTTCCGGTACGACATCTTAGGCATCTCAGAATCTTGGGTATCAAGGAATATAGACTCTAAGTTTTGCATGTAGATGGTTACGAGATTGTTAGGAAGGATCGTGTAGGTCGGGGTGGGGGTGTATGTTTCTACGTATCTAATAATTTAAATTATAAGGTTATAGAGAGAGTAGTAGTAACATTGAGCAGTTATGGATAGCTATTAAAACAATTAATGATATCAATATATTTGGAGTCGTGTACAGACCGCATGATATAGAGTACAAATATTTTCTTTTGCATTTAGAGGGTTCCATTAGTAAGTGCGTGCCACAATGTAATAGACTTGTAATTTTGGGTTATTTAAATATAGATTTACTAAAAAATGACAGTCCTGATTCCGTTTATCTAAATTCTTTAATGGAAACTTTGGGTTTAATTCAAATCATAAATAAGCCAACTAGAATTACTAAAGATTCTGTGTTCCTTTTAGATTTAATTAGGCATGGTATCTGATGATTCTGTCGTCTTAAATTGTGGAAATAAGGAACTATATGTTGCAGATCATGAATTGGTATTTTGTGAGCTTAATATTTGTAACAAATTTGTCCAGCATTATGTTAC